AAAAAAAAAATCCTGTTCCCAACAGTCTTGATTTTTGCCGCAATCCTTGAACGACAGGTTCTGACGGTGAGGTAAACAACAGTTGGTAATTTATTCACTGTCCCTTGTTTAAAAGGTTTAAAAAGCCTCCCTGAGTATTGCTGCTGACCATATACATCTCTTCTTAAACGCTGTCTCTACCCACATCATTGACTACTCTCAACTTAACTGATCTCAAGTCAGCTGAAGCTGCTTTCTTTAATACATTTGCTGGGAATAAATGACATCCAAAGTCACAATAACTCAACAGAATAAAAAGGGGGCATTTTTGTGATTTGGTGAAACAGCAGAATGGCATTTTAAATGTGCGGCCGACAGTTCTGCTGGAACTGCAAAGTGTCTGTTAAAGCCTATTGCATCATCATGGTTTTAGAATCTATGCCAAGGATTAAGTAATTCCTGAAAGTTCATAGAGTTGAAGCTAGTACTAAATCAGGCGTGGGCAAACTTTCTGACTTCAACCTCATCACATCATGTCACAGGTAAAGAGCAACAAAATGTAACCATGCTGTCTGCGTGTTAGCATTAGCATTCTGAGCCACATTAACAGTGAGCGGGAACCCGTCCACAGGTGTCGCTCTTCATGCTGCTGTCTGCGGTTTGCGTCATCCTCAGTCTGGCCGGCTCGATGCTCTCCTGTCAGAACGCACAGATGGTGAAGTCCATGCTGACCTGCCAGGTAGACAACCTCGGACCAGTCGCGTCTGCTGCGTTACAGGTGTCGCAGGTGGGTGTGTTTTCAGTCACTGCTTCACAAATGTGTGCAGGTGGAGAGCGGTCTGTGCGTGTGCTGTGTGCCCAACCACTCCTGCTCCATCACTGAGGAGGACACCCTGGTCCTGTACCTGAATGCTGACTGCCACTCGGTCAGGCATCAACTGAAGGTAAGGAGGAGGCGACGGTCAAAGAAAGTGAACGTGTGTTAAATCTGCCGTCAGACCGTAACTGTATGGTTTCGTTGGGTTTTGACTTTGTCTCCCCAGGACCTTTTGTTCAGTGCCTGTGGTCTCAGCATCCTGTCCACCATCATCTGTACGCTGTCCACGGTGACCTGCAGTATTCATATATTCTCTCTGGACCTGGTCCACCTGGTGAGGACAGACACGGTACACTTTACGTTTGAGAGGAAACGAAGTCAGATGCTCTTTGGTACTTAGGGCTGTCTGTGTACTTGGGCTAAATACTTTAGTGTCGAGTATTATATAAAGGGTACAGATGAAGTAATGATGGCAAACAAAAAGAAAAGAAAAATAAGATGCATTCATGAATACGATAC